TATCGGAATCTTCTTAACATGAAGAAACTTTATTACATAAAATGTTTATCTTCAATTGGCTTAATGTTTTGTGTTTGAGTTCTCTGATGCAAAAGGTATGTCAACTGTTTTTGTAGAACATTTTTTTTCAAACAAGTGTTAGCTGGTTATCACAATAGAACATGTTTTATATCATTTCCAATATCTTCTTTCACTTCTGTAATCATGTAAGATTTATCTGATTGTTGTTTGATGTGTAGATTTTTGAGAAGAACCCAACAACCATCAAGAACTATGGTATTTGGTTGAGATACCAGTCAAGAACTGGATATCACAACATGTACAAAGAATACCGTGACACCACCCTCAATGGCGGTGTTGAGCAGATGTACACCGAGATGGCCTCCCGCCACCGTGTCCGCCACCACTGCATCCAGGTCATCAAGACCGCCACCATCCCCGCCAAGCTCTGCAAGAGGGAGTCCACAAAGCAGTTCCATAACTCCAAAATCAAGTTCCCATTGGTGTTCAAGAAGGTTAGGCCACCCACTAGAAAGCTCAAGACCACTTACAAGGCTTCAAGGCCTAATTTGTTTGTGTAAGTGGAATGAGAAATTTTATGATATGTTTGTCTTTGAGTTATTGGAAGTTTTGATTTTTGTTTTGAGAGACGGGTTTTGTTGTTTACTTGATCTTGAATATTTTGATTATGTGTTAGGAATCTTGGATATTTGAGATTTTGATGTTGAATTTTATGATTAGGGAAGTGATATTGTTGGATAAAGATAATTAATGTTTGTTTTACCGAGTCATAAACCAAAAAAACTGATGTTTTTAGGAGAAGTCATGTGTCCATATTTTAATCAAATCCTTTGAAGTTAAATTCATATTAATTGATCCTTTTGGTATAGGATTATGTCAAAAAATCCTAACTAATTCTTGGGTGTTGCACAAACTTTACTTTTGTTTGCTTAAAAAGTGGTATGCTATTTTTTAATTTAACAATGAAATTCAAGTAAAATCCAATTCCTTTTTTCTATAGTTCCAAAGTGAATAGGATTTGTCACTTGAAAAAAATGGGTTTGAAACACAAATATGGATTCATCTTTATGAAGAAAACGAGAGTGCAAACAACAAATCCAAACTAATTCTTGGGTTTTGCACAAAACGAGAGTCCAAACAACAAATCCAAACTAATTCTTGGGTTTTTCACAAAACGAGAGTCCAAACAGCAAATCCATTTCTCTTGTCAATCAACTGATTTGGTTTAATACCAGATGTCCTTTCATACATTTGTGTTCCTAATCTTTTGGGTTTATCGTTTGTTCTTGATGGTTTGAAGAGCATGGTGAATTAGGGTTCCAAGCTTCAATAATCAACTAACAAAGCAAGGTGATTTAGGGATAAGTTTTGGGAAACAGTATGCCATGGTTTCTCCCAGAATGTCTGTAATGTATTGCTTCCAAGTTTTGATTCTCTTTGTAAAGTTAGAGGGAGTGATGTCATAAAAACCATAATCATTAGTTTCCTATGTCGGAGCTACATAGGTGTATACCACACAAAGTCTGGTTTTTAGCTGCACTAGGTGTGGAGAGTGAGAGACCACACTTTCTTACCGTAGGTTGGGGGCGGTGTTCCTCACTGCCACCATGACAATGACACTCCCTTACCGCACCCACTCCCTATAATCTACTAAGGTTCCGACATCTTGAGTATATTGATATGGATCATCTATTACATTTCATCTTATCAATGTGGATATGTTACATTTCATTTTGTTCATCTTGTTAATTTGGGTTTGATCTCATATTCAAACAGCTAACTAAAAAATAGTATTTCAAACAGAAACCGAAAAGTATGCTTCTTGTTTGATGAATATGCCAGCCTTATGCCTTTTCAAAAAAATTTCCCTTGGTTTTGGCAGTGCAGCTGTCTTAAAAAATATTAATCATGACACTTATATTATACTATATATTAATTACAAAGGCCTTATGAACAGTAAAGTATTTTATTTTTGGAGTTTTGGCACAAATTTTTTTATTTTGGCAGAATTAGTCTCTATAATTTTTTAGTTACAGAAAAATTACTATAAAGCTTTTTTTTTCAATGCCTAAGATTTTTGTATTATGGCAGGTTTAACTCCTATGTAGAAAATTAATTACCAAATCGTCCCCATAATTTATAGAAAATGTTATTGTGTATTTTTTTTTTTTTTTTTTTTTATTTATAGAAACAGCTCTTATGTTTAAAAATAATTACAAAAATTATCTCTATAATTTATAGAAAATATCATTTTGTATGCTATGAAGTTTCTCAACTCTCGCTCTTTCAAAAAAAAAAAAAAAGTTTCTCAACTCTCGTTTCTATTTACGTAGTATGCTATCTTCCTCTCCCTCTGTCACACATTCGATTGTTAATGATGTATTCATGATTCCGTCATACCTAATTAGCGTTGGTGATTAAGTAGTTATCTTCCATACCCAAATGGAGAGCTAGGTCTTCTTCCAAATTACCATTATTAGGCATTTTCTTATTTCAAGGTTTCGTTAATTTTACTATTTTATTGTTTATCTTCTCTTTCCATACATACATAATACCAAATATAAGTCAACAACCCTAGATATTACGAATATTCAATTGATTTTGATTGATTTATGTGTATATAACGTGGATTGCCTTTTTAATTTTGTGATACACAGATGAGAACATTCTTCAATTCAAGGATGAATATTTATCAGAAACTGTCATCGAAGGGAATTAGCTAGGGGTTGTGGCTTATTCCATCATAGTCTCGCAAGATGGTGAACTGTTCGATCTTGATGCAGTCAATAACAACATCGTTCGAATCACCACTCAATTATATAAATATAAGCTTCTTCATATGCTAGTTTTTCCAAATGATTGGTCTCCTAAGAACACAAGCTTGTACTTAGCTAGAGTCAACATGAGAGCCATTTTATTTGAAACTAATTATGAAAGATTTTCCTGACGGGTATGATAGAGATCATGTACGAAAATCTTGGAGATCAACACCATGAGATGTTAGGACTCTCAGAGAGTCTCAGGTATATAAACGAGAGAAAAGGGTTTGATGAAAGGTTAAATTTTGAGCAAAATTGTAATATAATACGATAAAGATAGTTTTTGTAACTTTGATTATCATTGACACAAAATTGTAACCATGGAAACCTGTAAATTTTGAGCAAAATGACATTTTAGACATGTAATTTTTGAGTTTAATGATCTAAGATGTCAAAAAAAAAAAAAAAAAACAAATGTCATTTAAAATCAAACATAAAACTTGGATATGTTTTTGTGCCAAAAAAATATTAATAAAAGAAAAAAAAAGACAATATAGACTGAAAACAAAAAGACAATAAATAAACAAAAAGTTAAGGGTACAATTAGTAACAAATAAGGTAAATACTCAACACCCTAATAATATTATAATATTTAAGATAAATAATGACGTAATATTATTTTATATAATGCGCATATATAATAGAGTCCTTATGTTTTTTAGTCATCATATATATATTTTTAAGTATAATCTTAGTGTAATAGTTTTAGTGTAACACAAAGTACTATCATACTATTATCGTATTATATTTTATATTATTATCGTATTAGATTCTTTTAAAATAACATAAGAATCTGAAAGTTACAAAAACTATCTTTAGAAAAAAAAAATTATTAAACAAATCATATCAAAATTATTAAAATCGCGATCTTAATCATATGATTGTATGATCACCTAGGTAAAATAATCCATATTAAAGATATGTATTTCACGTTTTGAAGACTACAAATGTAAGTACTTACAACCTTTCTACCATTGATTTATTTTGTTGTAATAAACAGGTTGAACATAGATCCAACAAATACCATAAAATTAATCTAACATAATAATAAAAACGATTATTTTTAGAAAAGAAACTATTTTCATAATAAAAAGAAAATATCATAAGATTAATGTATGATAATACAATTAGTTAGATAGAAATACTATAAAAACAGTTAATTTTAGAAGAAAAAAAAACTATTATCATTATATATATATATATATATATATATATATTGTTAGACAAAGAAAATACCAATGTTTTAAAAACTCGTCATGGCTCAAAGACTTGTAATTGATACTAAACTTTAATAAAATATCTCCTTGAGTTATCTCTGTGTATAATAATGAATAATATATATATATATATATATATATATATATATATATATATATATATAATACAAAATTGTCGCCTTAAATCATACATTACAAACGACATGGCTCGCCACGGCTCTTAAAAGCTTGCAACTTAACATTGACGCAAAGCAACGTCTAAAGTTAGAACCTTGGAAAATACATCAAATTAATGTACGATAATACAATCTGTTATATAGAAAAAAATATACTAAGATAATTAGATAATATTAAAAAATTAAAAATAATATATTTAAAAAAATCATTATATTTTGATTTATTTGTGAAAAAATCTTTATATTCTATTTGACTGGTTTACCAAGTAAAAATGTCAGAATACAAATAACTAACGGATTTTGAGACTTATATAATTGACTAAAAAAAGATAAAGATTAATCATTTATAGATTTCCATAAACACCTATATAATATACAAAACATTCAGTGCCATTAGCATTTATTTACATAAAAAATGAAGGTAAATTGAGGAAAAAAATAAGGTAAATTGAAAGAACAAAACAATCTGATATACACAGTATATATTATATTTTTTACTCAAAATTCTTATTCTCTATTATTTATAGTCGCACTATACGTATATTGATTTTACTTATAATATCAATATCTACACTAACTTCAGAAAATATGCCATAATCAAGATAGACTCACGCACGTGAGAATTGAATGTGTATGCATGTATGAGAATATTTTATTTTAAAGCACTTGGAATCACTATAAAACTCCATTCTGGTCGAAAACAAGTATATATATACATATACCATACAAGAAGGTGCATGCAAAAGAACTCGAACAAAATATCAATAATGGGCAAGGTAAAGAGACTCGTGGCTGATAACCCATTGGTGATCTTCAGCAAAAAAGATTGTTATGTTTGCGACTACATCAAATTCGTCCTAAGAAATTTTGGAGCTAACCCAACTATATATGAGCTTGATGAAATTGAAAATGGGCAACAGGTGGAAGAGGAGCTGCTCAGATTAGGTCCAAGTGTACCTGTTGTTTTCATTGGGAAAAAGCTGATTGGTGGTTCTAATGAAGTGCTTAGCCTCGGTATTAAAGGCGAGCTCAAACCACTCCTCATTGAGGCTAAGGCTATATGGATCTAATTTAGAGTCATATTTAGGAAGCTTAATATACGAATGTGTGGTAGAAGAAGGCATGCTTGGCCCCTCGTGTATCACAATGCTTAGTGTCTTTATATGTGGGATGTTTGAATAATACGGATTTGCCTCGAAAAATATTACTACTATTTATGATATCATGATTAATATTGTTGTGGCTTAGTACATACGACGGTGAATCATTATATATAACCAACTTGAAAACAAAGTTTTAGCTTACCATTTATATATAAGTAGAGGACGATCACACACTAGCCCGAGTGGAACTATTTTTTTCTTTGAACAAGATATATTTATTTAAAGAAAACCTATCGAGGAGCTAGGAACAACCACAATAAATACATAAGAGAAACAATCCAACTATCCCGGTTCAAAGAAACAAACATGCACTTTAACTTTGTATTGTAGCCGCTTTGACTTTATCTTTATGACAATGGCATTTATGTTTCAATTTTTGTTGTAAAAAATAACTTGATTTATCACTCTAAAAAAACTCATAGATAAGCCTTGGCAATGACTTTATCTTTATGACAATGGCTACATCTTTCTTGTTGCTACCCCTCCCACCATTAATCCAATAAATTCATTTTGTCCCAAATCCCATCTGAGCCAACACGCTAAAGAGGAAGTCCCAGTTAAGCGAATCAAAAGCTTTCTCAATATCAAGCTTTAATACACAGAGGCTCTTGCATAACCTCTTGTGTTGCCCATTCTCTAAGAGTCCTCTCCTGATCGTCTCTTGTGCCACTCATGATTGATTATAGTGGAAGATACCTTCACCTCAACAGAACAGAAACCGGTACAAAAGGCACCTTCAATGTCAGCTAGCCATCGACTACTCACTAACTGATCTTCTCCCCACGAAAAAGTGGCGGTTTTCACGTCGAGAAGTTTCGATAACTCCATCCCTTAAATGGTACCTAACCTAAACCCCTTGCATTATGCATCACATTAGCAATCTTCCCGTCAACCAATTCTTCCATCTTAGCTTTGAGCTGCGTGAACAACTCTGGAAAAATCTTCTGAATGGCTTCACGAACCTCACTCGCAATCAATTCCTTAAGATTAGGGTATCAGAACTCTTGGACCCATTTGAAGGTTGATTCCTTTATGAACCATATTTTATGGGTATTAGTACATTATTACTTTAATCATGTATAAATTGCTTTTATTACTTTAATCATTTAAACATTTACGTTTTACATAACTCATCAGTCCTTCAGGCTTTTTCGTGATTCTTCCTGACTCAAATGTCTATCTTGTGCTTTAGATAGTATGATCCCTTACCATTTTTCACACCGATATATATCTGTTCCGAGAGATGATACGAAACTTCCCTATCTACATGATGGGAAAAGTACTTATCTACATATTTATCGTTTTATTATTCTTAGCTCATGTGACATCCCCAAAATCTCGGCCAGAAAAGACCGATTTCATTTATGCTTTTTAAAATAATTTTCAGAGTAAATCCTTCTAATTTTAAAAGAGATGCGGAATTTGTTCCCAAAAACAAAACATGATAAAATAGATATTTATCAAAACATTTCATAAAGAAATATGATTTCATTTCATAATCAAAAGTTGGGATGTCATGTTCCGATACAGGTCATAAAGCATAAACGATAACATTACAAGTCGTTCAACAAATATATACATATACAGACTTGTAAACAAAAACAACTTGATGTTCGCCCATCTTAAGCTCTTGCGCCACTTCCTGTAAAATAAATCAACTGAGTGGGTCAGACTTGGGAGCCTGGTGAGCATATAGGGTTTTCAACCCACAATAATTATATTTAATTTCAACAATCAACAATAAACCCGATTACCCATTCCCGTTATCCTCACCTTACGTTCCTAAAAATAACGTCTATTATAAGGAACCTATTTCAGGATTTTTCATCGGGATGGACATCACTGCAGAGGGGCTTCCTCAACAATAAGTGTCCTAAAGGCAACCATGTGGGGGATAGAGTACACCGGTGAACACGTCGTTCACAACACCTACAGGTAATGAGCCTGTTAGTGTTCCACAGGACAGTCTAGAATAGTCCGTGGTCGTCATCCATACTCTGCTGAATGACTAGAATAACACCAATAACACCGAGGCCTCTCATCTGTTTATTACACACCAATTATCTACCCATGTTCTACCCAACATATTAGTAGATAAAAATATACATTTTTTTTATACATAGTTTAAAAACCTGTATAACATGTTTTAATCAATACATATTCCACATAACAGATGAAGCATACACACATAACACGTATTTCATAGAGAATACATCAGATCTGTAAGATAGAAGAGAGTGAATATACACTCACACGTATAACAACCAAATATATACACATAACACGTATTTTATAGAAAATACTTCATAATATTGCGTTGGAATGAAAATAACTACACACTCACTTGATCAGAAGATGATTGGGCAGCACTACGGCTTGCAGAAGAGGTGTTTCTCCGTAGATCTGGAAGATCTTCACAAAACCGGGCTCCTCACGGGCAGCGTTTCGGCTCGGGAATAACGCTCTTCGGGATCCTCGGGGCTTCGGATCTTACTTCGGGGCTCGGGAATATTACTGGGGCTTTGGGGTATAAACGGCACGCAAAACGAGGCAAAACTTAGAGAGAGGGAAGAGTTTGAACAAGAGAAAATGGCTGAATTCGAGTTCTATTTATAGGCTGCTGGGTCTGGGATTACGCGGGGCGTACTCAAATTACGCGGGGTGTACTCCGTACGCGGGGCGTACTCGGGTTACGCGGGGCGTACTTTGACGTCACTGCGTGCGTCGACTGGTGGCACTCGAGTATTGGTCAGACAAGTTGCATCCGACTGAGTACGCGGGGCGTAATTGACTTGTCAAACTTCTAAATTGCGTAACTTTCGCATACGAGCTCCGTTTTCGACGTTCTTTATATCCACGCGAAGGTCAGACCATACTCTACAACTGTCATTTAGACTCCGTCGGCAAATTTTGACTTTTATTTTTATTATTTATTTTTAGAAGGCCGGGACAGAAAAACTTCGTTATAAATTCATAACTTCTTCGTCTGACGTCCGTTCTCGCCTAACTTTTCATTGCTTCGCTACTAACAACAAGATATTCGATTCTCATTTAGATTGTTTCGGCTAAAAACCGCTCGATCTCAAATCGAGTATTCGGGCTGTATACTGCTAAGTCGAAACTTCATAAAATCATAACTTCCTCATACGGGAGTCAGATTTGGGCGTTCCTTTTATGCACGCTCTCGGTTTAATGAAATCTACGACTTTCGTTTAGATCGCTAAGGCTAAATATCGCTCTATCTTAAATTCATATTTTACGTCATTCGGCGTCGTGTCGGTTCTGTCGCGAAACTTCGACAGGTCATAACTTCTTCGTTATAACTCGGATTTTGGCATTCCTTATATCTCCGGAATCCTTGTTTCAACCACTACAACTTTATGCAAAGATGTCGGGCTTATCTCACACTTAAATTTTGACGCTTATTTTATTCTTAATTCATTAAATTATAAAAATTAAGAAAATACACACATAAATCACATAATTCAAATAATTCACAAATAATACATTCTTATTATTTCAAGTTGAGTTACAAGGTTAACCTAGACTATTACATTGCTAAAAATGGCAAGCCTAGAAACACGGGCGTTACAGCTCATCATGAGGATATATTCCTATTCTAGCATTTCATGTTATCTCAAGTTTTCTCCTAGAGGCAAGCGTACACCATGGATGCATGATGATGCATACCCTCGAACCAAAAATAGGCCTTTGAGAAGTTGATTCTACCCTAAGGCCACAACCAAACGAGGAACAAGAAGTAAGGCCAAATCAGTTCTCTAAACCTATATGATCCTAGATGTATACAATTATAACATTGAAGATACAAGTCGTCTATAAGGATCTAACTAATCATTACTAAAGCACATACTTCACATAAGGCACATGTAAGGCACGGAAGCACATAAACATCATAAGCACATAAGCATCATAAACACATAAACATCCTTATAGAAAATTCTAGCATGCAAAGCATAAACATTACATAAATCTTAACACTTTTATATAAATAATTATTTTGAGTGAGTGGCTCACTACCAACTTGTAACCACCTTTTTTTTTAAATAAACAAAACTAGTAAAGCTAGTCGTTACCCTTTAAAGATATAATTAAAGCTTTCAAGAACATTCCACCATATTTATAAAATAATAATTCTAAAAATATTACGGAAGCAGAAAACATCCCAGGTTTAAAACATAAAATAAATATTTCATAAATGTTTAAGAAAATATCGTATGCAGTCATACCGGTCTCTAACCCTTATCAGTACATGACGATCCTGAAAAATGTTAAATAACCATGGTAAACATAACACTTAGTGAGAATACACATTACTCTACCATTATATAGATCACTTACTTACACATATCATAACATTTCACATAAAGAATAAGACATAAACGTTTCTAGCACATATTGTTGGTACCAACTCTACATCATCAAGTTCATTCCCCCGAAGGGTCTATCTCTGACACTACCATATTAGGGATTAATCACTTTCCACGAAGGGTCTATCATGATCACCCAAACCTCAACCACTTCCCCCCAAGGGTTTATCATGGTCAAGAACATATCCTTGTCCACTTTATTGGATTAGGGTATCCATGAACAATAACGTAATACAAGTAATGCCTATATAATAAGAGTTAGTGTAACTTACATCCTTGAACTTGAAACTTAACTAGCAGGAGCTAGATGGATCCTTTCCTTTCTGAGAACCTACAAAAAAAATTATAACATTATTTAGCTTGTGCTTTGTTGTATTACCTTTATAAAACTTATGTACATATTTCCTTATTTTGTATTGTAGTGTTCTGTTCGGGACCTATTTTCTTACCTTTCAACACATTCTTAAATTCTTATAAAATTATATTCGTAAAGTTCCCTCTAATATCTTTTCGAAATAT